TTCTTAATATCGAATAATTTTTTTTTTTGATTTCGCTTAAAATTTAATTTTTTTTTAAATATTTTTTTTTTTTAAATTTTACTTTAAAATAACGTTTACCCTTTTTTTCAAGCAAGATAGTATGTGTTACTGACTTTGGCCTGTGGCCCGTCAGTAATACTTGTGCCGGAAGTGTTCCCTCTTCTGAGTTACAAAAAAAAAAAAAAAAAAAAAAAAAAAAAAAAAAAAAAAAAAAAAAAAAAAAAAAAAAAAAAAAAAAAAAATAACAATAACAATAACAATAAGAATAATAATAAAACCGCAGGGGCAACACATTGTGTTGCACGGGAGGCCCCTTTGGGCTGGCGACCCGGAGGTACCCGAGCAAGCGGATGGGAACAATCTGGTCGGCCAAATCCAAACCCGTGGCATCCCAGGAAGTAGGCTTGGACTCGTCCCGAGCTAAGGTTCTCAGCCGCGAACCTCCTGTCATAGGGTTTGCAGCTCTATGACAGGTTATCGAGTGTCTTGCAGTAAATCATCAAGAAGAAGCCTCGGTTGCGTCAACTTGTGAGGTAGTTGACGTATCAGTTCATCCTCACAACGCTGGAGCTGAAGACGGCCGTGGATCAGCCCAGCGTCTAACGGCACAACGGCCAACCCCGAGCAGATCCCCTTCACCTCCTGCCTCCGGTGTTTTACCGGCAAGTCAGCCAGCAACCACCAAGGCAGGAATTCCGAGGCAGCGCATGACTTGGACCAGAGAAATGAACATCGATGTCATGCGTTGCTTCTATAGAGCAACACGACAAGACACCAACGCATCAGGGTACAGATTCCACCTACGCCAATTGTTCCTGGCAGCGTACCCTGATCTAACTAATGTCACTGAACAGAGGCTAGTGGATCAGAAACGGATAATCATCAACAACAAGAAATTAATTGTGCAGGAGATCGAGGAAATAAAGAGAGAAGTTGCTCATGAGTTACATATTGCATCTACTCCTACAGAGGCGGACATTATCTTCACGCCATCATCAGTCGATGGATTCTCTCGTCATGCTAGGGATGGGGTGGTGTCCCCTACAGCGTATCCAATTCATAGGTTTGTCGATTCAGCGGATAGTGTACCAAGTTTTGAAGACACGATGGAACTGGAAACTCGTGAGAAGATTAGATTCTTCAGAGACAAATGGAGAGGGAGTAATCCAAATCTAAGGCCAGCAATTCCAAAACTTTTGATGAATAGGATGTGCAAAGACCGCATTAAGATCATTAATGAACTCATCTCAGAGGAGGCGGATCTCGAAGAAATCCACTTAGTCGTCTACGCTTGTGCCTGCACTGTCACAGTTTTAAATGGCCAGAAGTTAAGGTCGCAGGATGAGCAATGTCCAAAAAGAAGGAGAAAACCTGCCTGGCAACTGAGACTCGAGAAAAAGATCGAGAGATTGCGGAAGGAAATTGGTCGAATCACTCAGTATTTAAGAGGTGTCAGAACTAAGAAATTGGAGAAAGAGATTAGTCTTATTATCAGGGACAAAAGTAAGACCGTCGCGGAAACCCAAGAGATTTCGAAGATGAAACTCGCTGTTTACGCAGCTCGCCTTCGAAGGTATAACGAGCCCAATGATAGGAAAAACCAGAATGCCCTCGTCAATAGAAATGAAAAGGCCTTCTACAGGAATCTGACCTCGAAGGAGATACCAGTTACACCGCCTAAGAAAGAAGAAGTGACCGCTTTCTGGAAAAATCTCTGGTCTAATCCTGTGCAGCATCGGGAGGGTGGTGAATGGATTGAAAAAGAAATTGCACGACAGGAAGCCGTGCCAGAGCAGACAAACCATGTTATCACTGTAAATGAGCTTGCGGAGACCATCAGGGGCACCCATCACTGGAAATGTCCAGGTGACGACAATGTACAAAATTTTTGGTATAAGAACTTCCCTGTATTGCATGCACACCTAACACAGCAAGCCAACAGAATCGTTCAGCATCCCGAATTGGCACCCGAGTTTTTAACAGAAGGAAGGACGTTCATTAAACCAAAAGATGAAGACACCAAGAACCCTGCGAACTATCGTCCCATCACTTGTCTGCCCACCATCTATAAGATAATCACAGCTACCCTCTGTAGGAAAATTGATCGGCACTTGATATCGAATGATGTTCTAACGGAGGAGCAGAAGGGGTGCCGAAAACAGAGCAAAGGTTGCAAGGAGCAGTTAATAATTGATAGTGTTATTCTGAAGCAAACGGAAAAGAACGGCAGAAATTTGAACACCACATTCATCGACTATCGTAAGGCGTTTGACATGGTGCCTCATTCTTGGTTATTAAGAGTCCTCGAAATCTACAAGATACACCCTGTGTTGAGACACTTCCTGGCATCCGTAATGAAAAATTGGAAAACGAAAATCTCCCTCAAAACGGAGGACGGCCAATTGGAAACTGAATTTATTTACATTAAACGTGGAATTTTCCAGGGCGATGCGCTCAGTGCATTGTGGTTTTGTTTATCCCTGAATCCCCTGTCGATTGCTTTGAAAGACACTGAACTTGGGTTTCTTATTAAAGAGCGCAGACAAACTCTGTATATTCTCAGTCATCTGATGTTCATAGATGATATTAAAATCTACTCCTCATCGCCGGGTGAGCTTAAGATCTTGCTGGGTGTTGTGGAGTCCGTATCCGCTGATATTTGTATGGAGTTCGGGTTGGAGAAGTGCAGAGTTCTGAATATTTATCGTGGAAAGGTGGTGGAAGAGGAGGAAGATCAGACTCTCTATGGTACAATTGTCGAACAAATGGATGAAAATGATTCCTACAAATACCTAGGATTCCAACAGAATCGCAGACTAAACCATAGTGACATTAAGCATATGGTTCAACAGCATTATGAGCAGCGTCTCAGGATCTTGTTACGCTCTAGACTGAACTCAAGAAATCTGTTTAAGGCTATTAATACTTTTGCTGTGCCAGTCTTGACATACTCTTTCGGAATTATCAAATGGACCACCACTGATCTGGAGAATATCAACAATAAAACCAGAGTGTTGTTGACTAAGAGCCGGAAGTTACACCCCAAATCCTGTAAAGAGAGAGTGACTCTCGGTCGGGAAGTAGGCGGAAAAGGTCTACTGGATGTCCACGAGTTGTGCAATCGTCAGGTTCATGATCTCAGGACGTATTTTACAAACAGAGAACACCCTTTACATCCGGCAATCGTTTGCACGGATAGGAACTTTACACCTTTGAATTTGGCCTCGCAGAGAGCTGCGTATCCACCGTTTCACACGGATTAGCAGAAGGAGACCATCTGGGCATCTAAAGAGTTGCATGGAAGACACTATAGTCAGATCCACCAAGATCATATCTCCAAGAGCCTGTCTTACAAATTTCTTCAGAGCGGGCAGTTGTTTCCGGAAACGGAAGGCTTTATACTCGCCATCCAGGATCAAGTCATTTGTGCAAGAAACTATAGGAAATTCGTCATTAAAGATGGGACCGTTGATGACTCATGCAGGAAGTGCCATTTATGTCCTGAAACGATTGATCACATCACAGCAGGTTGCAGACTCCTAGCTGGTACCGAATACACCAGGAGACATAACTCAGTAGCCAAAATAATCCACCAAGGGCTTTCATTACATCGTAACCTGTTGGACAGTGTGCCTCCGTATTATGAATATAATCCTGAGTCAGTGCTGGAAAATGATGCCTTTAAATTATATTGGGACTTTACCATCTATACCGACAAGACCATCCCGCACAATAGGCCAGATATGGTCCTTCTAGATAAAAATCAGGGCATTGCTCACCTAATGGATATCTCAGTCCCTGCTGATGCCAATGTAGATGCTAAGTATAGAGATAAGATCGAAAAGTATCTGCCCTTAGCAACTGAAATACAGCGACTGTGGAAGCTTAAAGAGGTAATTATTGTACCATTTATAATATCCGTCACGGGGATCACTCCTCATTCTTTCCTGAGACATCTGAAGCAGCTCCACTTAGGTGAAAACGTTCACGCCCAAAGCCAGAAAGCTGTTATCCTTATCCTGCACACCTGTAATATCACTAGATCTTTCCTAAGCTCAGGGCAGTGATTGTTTTTTTTATTTTTAATTATGTGACCGATTGCTAACCTATGGTTTATGCTCTCTTATTTTAACAATCTTTTTTTTTAATTTAACAACGTTTTACAATTTTAACACTTTTTTTCGATTTTAACAGCTTTTTACGATTTTAACAATCAAATCTCAAAAATTTTAAGGTAAATTTTAGCAATTTTAAGTCAAATTTTAGTAATTTTAAATCAAATTTTAGCAGTTTTAAATCAAATTTTAGCGTTTTTAAATTAAATTTTAGCAATTTTAAAAGGCTCTAGCTTTGAAAGACTTGGCTACGGTCCGTCTTTCAATGAGTTTCTTTCCGCAAACGTTTTGTGAGAAAAGTACCTAAACGCCAACTATGACCTCTGGAGAAAAAGGAATCCGAACACCCGCCCGCATATCGATGCAAACAAGCTCGCCACACAAAGACGATTCATTGCGAAAAACCAAAAACTAAGTGAGGCACAAATTGAAGAAATCAAAGCTGATGTAGCCGCAAACCTAGCAACACAATGTGAACCGGGTGTCACCAGAAAAACCCAAAATACCAATAACAACCAAAACTCCCCTACCACAATGAATAATGCAGCCAACCACACCCAGAGAGTACAATGGACCGAAGAGGAATACAAAGAAGTCATATGGTGCCATTGGTTTGTTCAACAGCTTCAAGAAATTAAAGACGATGTTCACTCCACCATAGAAGCATCCACTGACCAACACACAACTGAAAGCTCACCAGGTGATGCCACAAACGACGAGAACCGCCCGTCGAGACGGAATGATCCAACTGACCCCAGGGAATCGGAGTCAACGCCAGACAGACCTCAAACCAACGAAACTCCCAGAAGAAGTAAGCAGCTGAGAATACCATCTCCAGAACCAGAACACGAAACAACTCCCCAAGAGCAGAACATGGCGAGCACTTTAGAAACAACGACCTCTACATCAAAGCTAAGAAGCGTGTATCAAGAAGTTCTCGAGATGAATCTGGAAGAAAGAGAGCCGATAAGGAAAATAAAGGGGGCGAAAAAAGACAAAGAAATCATCATGCGAACTAACAATGAAGTACAAAATATGCTTGAGAGCGAAGAAAATCTCGACCTTTGGAAAATCAACTGCTTGCTCTACGCTGCAGCCCTCACAATCAGTGACGAGTCGACCGGCCCAAAAGGAACTAAAATGAACAAGAAAGAAAGTAAGCCCTTATGGCAAAAAAGAATTGAGTTCAGAATCCAAGATCTGAGGAGGAACCTTTCAGTACTAGCTAACTTCAAAATAACGAGCAAGGAAAAAGTACAACAGACAACCCACAAAGTCCAGTCAATCCTAGATAAATACACCGCGGAAGGAGAAGAAAGCAGTATAGACAATGTAATGGAGCAACTGAGGCAACGTATTGCTGTCTTTAGCCAAAGAATAAGAAGGTACCAGAAAAGATCAAATCAATTCTCTCACAACAGAAGCTTCGAAACCAACTGCAAAAGCTTCTACAGGAACATCAAAGGTGACTCCTCCGACATCGGTGAAACCCCAGAGAAAGAAAAGGT